AGTTTTATAAGTTGACCGGTAAAGATGGAAAGGTTATTGGTAGCAACTTTGGACAAAAGCCGTATGTTTCTGCAATTCATTCTTTTTGCAAGAATTTGTATTTTTTGCTTTTCAGTTACACATTCGTGCTAGGACGAGGTGAAGTTATCCGCGGAATGGACATCGCCATGGAAGGAATGTGTGTTGGAGAGCAGCGTAAAGTTTGTGATGAGAGAATAGATGTTTTTCATAGAAATAATTATATGAGCTTAGGTTACCATCCCACCTGAAGAAGGTTTCGATGATACGAGCAACATGGATGGGGTTGATGTAAGAATCTTATGGAAATAGATGCATCAGCTGTGAGAAAAAAAACACTTTTTTAGGGAGCAGAACCACTTAACTACTTCGTCGAACTCAAAAGTCTTTTCCGACCGAATCCTGGAGACAAATGGATTACTGATGAGGGTGTTCATATAAGTGTAAGCGTCTTTTTAAAAATTCTAATCCTTTAAGCAGGAAAAATTGTTTTCTGTACAGGTCACGCACGAAATTGATGAGAGCGAATGCATCAAGGCAGAGAAAGGCGACACCCTTCACCAACACTACACTCTTCATCTCGAGGATGGTACTTTCATCGATTCAAGCTGGAATCGGAACAAACCATTCGTTTTCAAACTGCACACTGGACAGGTTTGAAAGCGGAATCTTCTAAAAGCGAGAGCTAATAGAACTTTTTTCCAATCAAGGTCATTCCTGGCATGGACATCGCCATGGATGGTATGTGCGAGGGAGAACGCCGAAAAGTTATAATTCCATCTGAACTAGGTATCTATATTGGTATCCGTACGCTATGAATTTGATGAAAAAACCTCCTTTCCAGCTTATGGAGAGAAAGGCCGACCTCCAGGAATTCCCGGAAATGCACCTTTACACTTCGAAATTGTTCTAGAAAAGATTGTAAAAGCAGAAAAAGAAGAACTTTAATGAGCTCTGTGACGTAGTCGTAAACTGTCTGTGATATGTAACAGGTAACTATGGATAAATAAATCTTTAATGGTGTACAGCACCTAATGAAAAGTTTGTGTTTTGTCCAACAGCATATAAGAGAGATTGTGATCAGATTCGGCCAGAGACTATGGTATCAAATAATTCTTTACAAATGAAAACTTTGCAGACAACAAAGAGTCTCAATACTTGCAATGCATGCAAATAACACAAATATGAAGGAAAATTAAGAGACCTTAAAAATGCATTTTCTTCCTCTTAAATGCTAGTTTGCAGGTGAGTTTCCAATGCAAATCTCGTTATAATAAGAGAGTTATATTAGAAGCGGAGGAATGTACGTTGCCCATCGAGGCATGTGCGCAACAGTAGGCGGGCGAATAAGTATGTGGTACCATTCTAATTTCTCTGGCCCAAAAGTTAGATTATGGCGGCATAGGAGGAGGTTCCAAAGACATTATCCCCGAAGGTGGCAATTGAAGGCACAAGCC